TATTTCTCTGATATCCACATGAGATTTTTAAAAAAATCGCTCTAAATTAATTAATATACAAGTCTGAAAAAGTCATGGGTATCCAAGTTTCATAACAAAAATCAAAGTGGTTAAAATTATGGGAGGTAATGGGTTAAGATCAGATTTTTTTGGTTCCAGAAGGTATTTATTAAAAATGGTCCTGTTAATACTAGTGTTCTTTTACAGCACAACACGCATTAAATAGGAGAGGGCAGTTTTTGGATATCTCGCAACCTCCGATTTCGCCTAATCACCACCTGTTTTCCTTCAATAATGAAGATGTAGTTATCTTTACTAAAATGCTTTCTGAACGTCATATCGACTCAACAGATGAAAATAGAGACCAAGTGTGCGTTAAGTTACCAACTGGAATTTCAATCAGGACCTTGCAAGAATTAGGTCACCTACTGTACGTCGGTAAACAGCAGGAAGGATTAGAAATGGAAATGGGAAGACCGCTGTAATACAGGTGGCATAGCCCTAGATTTCGGGAAGAGAGTATATGCCCGTGTTCTAAACCGAGTCCAAAATGTAACCATAATGCTAAACATAACATTACTATTAACCCTAGTTCCAGTCTTATCTTAACTTTAATCCTAACCCTAAACGAAACCTATATCTACCGAGAATTTACCATAAGATCAGCTGTTCCTACTCCCGCGGGAGAGGCTGCCAAACACATGATTAGACTTTTATCTATATTGGAATTGTGCAGAAATCCTCCCTGGATGCAATCAAAGAAACATGTATTTGCATTCAGACAATCGTGGAAGTATTTTTTTGAAATTGATCTAGGATTTGAGTGTGCATTGTCTGATCTTTAACAAGCTTTCCCACTATTCAATCCAGCTGACTGAACTTGTCCAACAGAACAATGACTTTAAATGAACCGACTTACAAATGTCGTAATACGAAGCAATATTATACGAAGATTTGTGGATAGCAAAGTTCAGCCGAACTACTGCTAACGCTGCCTCGAGGATCAAAGGCCAAATAGGGATGGCCGTTTAAAGTTGTGGCGGACGGTCAACAAATGCGGTCCCCTTCCTCGTTCAACACCCGCGGCCCGCAGTTATCCGTCTTTGTAGGCGACTGTTCGCACTTGCTAACCTCCACTCGCACATACGCACGCATACGCGTGCCGAACCAGTCGCAACTTCTCAAGGGCCACTTCAACATGCCAACCCGCGGTCATATAAAAGCCGATGTCATCAGCACACACGTAATAACACGCACCCGCAATAAACCTCGGGCACAACTGGACGCAGTCAAAGCCAACCCTGACTTCACCAACGGCCACTGCTGCCCGAGACAGCAGCATAGGGTTTTGAATACAATAAAGCCCTCATTATATTGACTTTTGCCTTATACTTACAACCTGGAATTCGATCTGGGGTTTGTAGAGTTCTGAACACAACCACGACTTAGTTACTACAAATTGTTGGCCCCGAAATGATATGAATACGCCACTCCCTCTATCTTTTGATATGGCCGACAACCTGTTCCAACTCGACTTCATCGTATTGTTTCCCTGCGTCACTCATCATACTCATGGATAGGAAAACGCGGTCGTCAACACCCTGTCGCGAATTAAGATTAACGTTTTCCACCAAACCCAGCCGTACACGTCCAGGTCGAACCCCAAGCAGTTTATCTGGAGTATTCATTCACATTTGTTGCTATCCCATCCCATCTCTCCTTTGTACGAGATATTCCTCCGCCCAGTGCCAGTGAAGCATCATCCGTGAGTAATTTTCATGCATTCAACATGGTAACACACACGCATCGATGGAACTTTACACTTTCGACACTTCACGCAATCTCAATTCTGCGCGTGGACGACAGTGAGCCTACTTCATCGACGCATTCGTCCAAATCAAATCTCACTGGGATAACTTTTGTCCGAGATGATCTTTCCTCCTACCAACGTGCCGACTGACGTTGGCAGTCGAGATCGAGGAACCACTCTTTCCCCCTACCAACGTGCCAATCCACTGGCACGCGTAGTGGAGATCACGGAAACACTCTTTCCTCATTTTGACATGCCGACTCCCTGGTAAACGTTGTCGAAATCACGCCAGCACATCCTCCAGCTGATGCCACAACTGCACCTCAGTACAGGTCGCAAGCATCCTCCTTATCTCAAACTGATGAAAACTCACTCCCGATTCATGGCATCAAGACCGGCCGACATGTCCACTGGCTCGACAGATTTGTGGCTGGTTAGAGTATCAACGCCTTTACTTCATTTAGCGTCTGAGGTGAGTTTTAGCAACTGCTTCAATGCTTCCTTCCTCTGACACCCCGGTCTCCTAGGTTTGATCTAGCAGTTGCTTCAGTGTTCTCGTTCTGTCTAACCGACAGCATCTGCTTCGGTTTCCCCCCCCTTTCTTCTGCATCCTGACTGCCGAGAAAATCCCACTGATTGGCGGCCCCCAAAGTTGATCTCGGTCTATTCAGTCACGTGTGCAGACAACGCTCATCGGCCAGTCTGCCTTGTCAGCCATGGTCCTTTTTGCTTATGTCCCCCTGACTGTCCCCTTTGACCTGACCAGTCATACACCCAACACGCACTCCCGCGTACTGACATGAACAATGACGAACTCGTACACAACACTTCGCTGCCCACACGCTCCGGTACGGTCGCATCGTTCACACACCAGCAGACAGTCAATCCATAGCAACTTGCCTTTTGCACTCAATAAATCGTTCTCAATATCCGATTGCCTTCTTCCCTCAGACGGAACATTCTTAGTGTCTGTGGTTATAGTTGATTGCTCATCCTCGACGGCTACAAATTAAGGCAACAATTATAATCCAAAAGACCAGGTACTTACCAGTGCCCAGAGTTGGATTAAATAAAAAAAATAACTCCACCTCAAACAAGATATAAATCAAAATTGGGCATTGTAATGGTAAAAATAGGATATGTAGAGAGAGCACGTTTATATACTTACTCTAATACACAGGTGGTCTTGGGCGAAATATCAGGGGTCAAGAAAGTTTGTGGTAGAGCTCCAGTCAGGAGGGGACACGGGAATGCCTATCCCCGTAGCATATAGCGCAAGGCTACCTGTATTACGGGGTGACTTATATATACAGTCGCTTTTCAACACATCGTGGGAAGTTATTAATCCTCCCAAAGTTCTAGGGCAGGAAAAAAGCTTTGTGAACCTAAGGCTAATGGCGTGTTTTGCCGGGAGGTAGTAAACTGCGACTTATAACGCAGCGCAACATAACCCATTCCATAACGGGTTCTTATATTTGCTTCAGGCTTTGTGTCGATATTCAAAAGGTTACCATGACCATAATGAATGGCCCCTTGGGCCTTAAATATACAGTTTATTTATTTGTACCGTTATGGATACTTAATGAAACGATTTATTGATCTACATTAGTCACAGATTCTCAACTGATAAATCACCTTGAAAATATTTAAGTTTAAATGCTTACTTTTTGTTTGAAGCCCATATTTTTTTAGAACAAAACCTTGGACTGTATGTGAGTAGTAACATACTTCTATTAATAAGTATTTTGTATGAGTACAGACGAAGACTACTCGAGAACCAGAACAATTCGTTCATTAGGCTGAATTTTCGAACACTTGTAGAAGTCCATCCTCAGAGATAGGAACAGCAGAAGGACATTACTGACGAAAAATCAGGGAGACTGGAATCACCATTTCTGGCCTACTAGTCGTCATCAGTTAACCATACCCAACCCCAGGCGTTACATCAACCGAGGCTCTAATCATTGAGCCATGGACTCTTTATTCGGTTTCTGCCCATAATAGCTCCGTTAGCGATTGGTGAGTGCCCATCCAGTGACAATAGGAGCAACAGAAAAAGGCTATACTTATAGGGGGTACACACCAGTCAATTAGGAATGACGCATGTCTGCGGATGACTGTGCACGCCTCTGTATGCCGGCTTCAGGTCGATGGATCGATCGATTGGATTCTCAGTCGAGGATCAGGCTCAGAAGAATTCGCGGCTTATCTTGCATCCGGCGTGGGCGATTACCTTAATGACTGCGAACTTGAACCCATGGACCGTTTCGTGGGTGTGGGCAGCTACTTGCAATCATTCGTCAGGCAGCTGGTTTATGTACATATATACGCGATCCGACCATGCCTTCAGTCTGATCTATGTAGATACAAAGACAATTTGGGCATGAGAAGGGATACAGTACCTCAGATTGCTCCTTGTGATTAAGGCAGTCTTCGATTTTCATCACCCTGCTGCGTATGGTAGCTTTGGGTCTGTGGACAATTTGGACACCCGATCCCAGGAAAATGCACTCAGGCGTTTCCGCGGTGTCTCGGATGTGTAGTAATGTGCCTGATTGGGTCCCTCGGGACCAAACGCGTAGGCATTGGCATATTAAAGCCCCCCAGATAGCCATTTCACATAAATTGGTCGCGGGGATATCGGGACCTATGTACTTTTTCTTCGGCTCGCTGTAAGGAATCTGGACTAGTTTAAACAGCGTTCTTACACAGCTTCCTTTTTGAGTCACCGGACGGTTGCTATGACAACTGAGAAGTTGTGTGATGTTCGCTGCTGTCCTGGAAACCGTCATCTCAATTTTATCTTGATGCATACATCGGGGATGGACAGCTGCCACTCGCAAATTATATATCAAGGAAGATTCCGTTGAGCAAGTTATGGAAACTTGACAGCATGTTCTTCCTGACGATAGCCAGCGTGTCGTCAAAATAACGGCACCAAAAGGCAGGTTCATTTTGGATGAAAGCAGTTGTCCCTAGATCTTGTAATGTCACTAAACCAGAGGCCGGAGAGCCCACTTGAGATCCCTTAATCTGATTATAGAATTTTCCAACAAAGCTGAAATAAGCGTCAGGGTAAAATTAGAACAGCTTCATTGGGTGTTCAGTTAGGAGTGGACTCTGAGCCTCGTCCTGTGCCCCTGAGTGTTTTGGACAAGACCACCTGCTCCAAATTCGGTGGGATGAATATAACGAACGAAGTCACTCGGTAGTAGACCATGATTTCATCCAGTTGAAGCTTCTGACCTCGAAGGTCTATGAGGAATCGAGAAGTTAATGGAGCCAAAGTAGTAAAATTTCCTAAGCATTGACAAACGGCGTCATTTTGGGGTTTCGTGGCATTCTTTCCCATCTGTCCTGAAAATTACATTCGATAGAAACCTCCTAACTAGTTAGTTTTCCCAAACTTAATTTTCCATGTTTGTGTATAAGCAACCGTATTCATTAGGAAGGAAACGCAAGCATGTTTGTTTTGCCAATTTTATATGACCAGATGTCACCTTCATTCTGGAGCTATATTTTTGGTATCCAGAAAAAATTTAACTAAGGATAAACCATACTGCAGACTTTTTAAGCAAAATTTATCAATCATCTGTTGGAGATCTATACAAACATTCACACACGTGCTTTAAAAGTAAGCATAATTCATCTCGAAATATTATTTTTATAGGCAAAACATAATGTCTCTAAAAATAATTATGGAATATGAAATTCTTATGCCTACTATCTAGAAACTACAACTGAATTTTTGAAAGCCAGAAATAAATTGAGAAGGTGCTCGTTAATTAAGAAGCAGATTTTTTTCCGAATATGATCAACGCAGTTAATTTGAAAGACTTAATGCCCAAAACCAACTCGATACCGCGCATTAGTGAGCCTCCAATTTTATTGCGTGACCAGAAATGTTGCAGAGTATCCAGCTAAGAACACGGTTAAATATTTCAGCTGCCTTGGTAAATACTGTCAACACGCAGCCCCCCTCCTTTGTTAGCTGAGAAGCAAACAATCAAGTAAGTAGTCTTACCCCTTTCCCGAGTACCTGCGTTCGGAGCCGCCTTCCTATTGGACAATGTCCTCTCGAAGAAAGGCTCTAGGGCCAGATGCGGTGGCTTTGGTTCGGAGGCGGTGACCACTTCGGTGTTTGAGACGCCCCCGTCGGAAACCTGCGAGGAAAGATGAAATGTAAATTTCTACTGATTCATAAAGTTTTTGGGACGCAACTGCTTTTTCTCTACGCACGGAGTACCACAGTTAGTATAACTTGGTGCATTATTTTGCCTCGGGATTCAAACTGCGGTTTCAAAATCTAAGAAGAAATGATCAGTTGTTATGTCTATTTTCACATGGGGATGGCAATCGCCCTTTTAAGTCCAATCCCTGAATAGGAGAAATGCACAACACAACTTCTACTAAATCATGTGTCGGGAAGGGAACAGATACGGGGTCAAGCAACACCAACGAAAAGAAAATCTGGATTAGTGATCCTGCGAGGAAAAGGGACCGCCAGCTGTCTTTTGAGTACTATGAACTATAAAACTTTTCCTACAGCATTCTCAGATGTCATAGTTCAGTGCTTTTAATAGCACCCCCGCGTCCCGCCACAGAAAGTTCGCGGGTCACTTTGGGATAGAGGACTGAGTTTCAGATGCTGGTAGGGGAAATCGCATCATAAGGAAAAGGTGGATAATACAGTAAGTAAGACCTGGCTAACTCATAGAACCACGAACTGTTCCCTCGAAGCAATCATAGAAATAATCAATTCCTAATATAAATTCTAGTTGATAGTATTAGCGTCTATGCGTAGCGCCCGACAGTGGTAACGTTCATCTAAACAGCATGGAGGCAAGTTGAAAAAATGAATGAATCGAATTTAGCTAAGGCGATCCAATTGCAGAACCTTAATTATTTCACTAAATCTAGTACATTTAAGGCAAAATTATGTTCGGATAGCCGCACTAGTTTCCTTATTTCCTAAGGAGTTTTTCAATGTCTACGCCGATAAAGCATTTATATATACATTAATGTATATTTATTATATCGTCCGAAACTTTGAATGGCTTGTCAATACTGATAAATGCAATGAAGAAGTTTGGTCTCCAAGCGAAGGATAGCTTTAAGTCAGGCTTTGCAAATGACCAAATCTCGAAGTATTTCATTTAAATTTGCTGATTTATCAGGTTTTGGGGCAAGATAAAACAGAGAGGCGAAATTAATTTGGAAAGGTGAACCTACACAGCCAAACGAACGACTAAACACGAGACGGACAGAGACGATTGAATTTGAAATCCTGACGGGAAGCTTGCCATCTAAAATAAGGGACCCACCGTCCGCGTGTGATACTCAATACCCTCTTATTCTAAACCAGAAGGCAGCCTACGGCGGGTTTTGGGGTTCAGAGATATGCATTTTCATTGTTAGCATCAGAACAAAGTTATTGCTGTTTCATTGAATTAAGAGACTGCAAAATTTTTCGTCTAGGTTAAACGGAGCACTGTTTCGATCGCCTTAACCACGGCACATCCATCAAATCAATAGTTCAATCGTCGATTTCGACGATATTCACTGCGAACTTCAACGATTTGAAGCACGCGGTGACTGTGGCCGATTATAGTGAAGGTGAACTCTCCGGTTCTACCTAATTCTCTGACCACCCCCGCACCGGGAACCGGTAATCAAGACGGAGTAAAGAAGGCCGGAAATGTGGGAGGGCGCAGACGGCTAGCGCAACAAACAATCAACACGCGTACTGACTATGGTGTCCAAGGGTCAACCTCACTCTCTCCCCCAGCGCCAGCAACAGGCCACCGCCTAGCTTTCGGCCGCCTGAGGTGGGATGGGCGCAGCGCTGAAACCAAATCTACTAACACACATGTCGTAGAAAGCCGACAGAAAGGGATGTATACAAAGTGAGTTATCCAGCAAATACAAAGCATATCGCCCCCACCCCCTGGTGACAATTGTTCACTCTGCGCAAATGACAGTGCCTTTCATTCCACGTACCCCACCAATGACCAATACTCACAGCCTATCCTAATCTTCTCCCCTCCCCAGGGCAACGACCTCTACACGCCGGTCACGCCATGCGGGCGGTGTGAAAACGATGAGTTATAATCACAAGACGCTTATCAGCCCTGCCCAACTGTATGATTTTCATTACCCCTGCAATTCTACCGGCCCGATGAAGAATTGCTGAAGGCATATGCTTGTCGAATAAACTTTTCAAGTGCAAGAGACATGGGGGAAAATGGAAAAGCAATAAGCTGCAATTTGATAGAAGTATCCTCACATTGGTGCCGTTATCAAGGGGAAAAAGAATTGTCTGTGCTACCGTGTGAGCCCTCACAGCCCGAGAAAATGGTTTAATCGGCCTGCAGATAATCGGTTAGGTCCGTAGCAAGATAGGCAGAAGGCTGTCTGAAGCACAGAGCTTCAGTAAGATCGTTGCGAATTGCCGACTGTTAACTATGCCTGACACAACAGGTCTTTTGGAGACGCATTACAAGAATGGTCAAGTAGTTTACCGAATAGTTGAAGAAGGCTGTAAATAATACCTGCTTATTACGGTTTCCTGGTTCTAGTGGTAGTGAACGAAGATTGTCGTCAGATTGGCTCGAAAATTTTACTTTAGAAGTAATTGTGGGCTACGGACGGTAGTTCATTTAGAATGTGCAAAACGTAGCGCCCAGAGGCTGTTGAAACAAATTCTCGACTTAAACCTACATCGAGGCTTTCGAGGGTTTCATCGCAAGCATCCAAAGTACCCGACGCCGGTGTCATCGCATGATCACGTAAATGCGAAAAACCGGGCTCAGAGTTGGCTGGACGTGGAGCATCAAAGGTATGACTGTTCATGGATTGGGTGTCAGTCCGCAGATGACGATGCAACCTTGAAAAAGAACAAATAACAGAGGTCTATAAAGATAAATGAGCATTTCGATAATGGGGGCGGAAAAATATCCGGTCAGTCCTCCTGAGCGTTTCATGATGATTCTCAACCCTCCGTAAAAATTCGCTGGCATAATTGGAAGTAAAAATCAATATTGATTTGGACGGATAGATTACACCGGATCTTAACTAAACAACATAATATGGACTTAACGTGTCCGATATCGAATATGGATCAAGCAGATCATTTCTAAAGAATCAAAAGTCTAATAGTGCTGCGTTGTTTATTGTGGTGTGGCTATAGGCGGGTCATCCACGGTAGCAACAGTGAGGCAGACGAAGAAATATGAACTGGCGCTGCAATGGAGCAACCAATTTCAAAGGTCAACTGATGCAGAGAAAGTCCCCACAACGTTTCTCGAGAACTAACAAAAGTAGCCAAAATTGTTATTAAATTTCATGACATGTTAAAACGAATAGAGCTGCCGAAGCACCATTTTTTGGAAGGAGGGGTATAATGTTCAACTTGTACACGAATAATAACTATTCCAGGAGAACTGTAAGTAACCTTTAAGAAATCCCGAGAGACTAAAATATAACTCAAAAAGCTGTAGAATACTACATTTTTGGAACAGAGAGAAAGCGCGGAAAAATGCAGCCAGTTAAGTAACCATTGGCCACGCCAAACTCGAAGTTTACAGGAGGTTCTTTTGCGCGTACAAGGAAGGCTTCCTTATCCGGATAGCGGTTGCTTCTGCGGTTGCTAGCAAACGCTGACCCAGGAACTTGGGATAGTTTAGTGGGACTTTTTCAATCATCCGGAAGGCCTTAGAGCAGGTTATATTGGTCGCACGATTTGGCGCATATCCAAAAGACGAAAAGCACACTTCCCAGCATAGCTTAAAGGTAAAGTCAGAAACAAAAACAGCGTTATTCATGCACACATGGTTGATTCCGGACATCGTGTGGACCCGAACGAAGCCTTTCTGGTGAGTTATAAGGTCCCACCAAACTACCCAAGTCACTGGATCAGCATTTGCTAGCAACAACAAAAGCAACCGCTATCCGGTTGGGGAATTCTACCTAGAAGCGCAAAAGAACCTCCTGTACGCTCAGAGCTTTACATGGCCAACGGTCACTTAACTGCCTGCATTTTGGTAGCAGTCTGTTATAGGGATCAACACGCTCTTGGTTACATTACAAAACTCCCTACTTATTTGGTAATAGAAAGCGTATTTTGTTTCACTACTTTGATATGGGCTGTTACCACAAACGTTCGACATATTCCATCCAACATAAATCTTTAATGATATTCTACTACTTTTTCTGAGCTAGGTAGCGTTACTCGACACAAAAGTACGACGTATTACAGAATTCAAGGGTTTTCGGTTTTTGTGGTAATCCCCAAAATAGGTGTCATCAATATTTTCAATGTTTCTGGAATCCTAAACCCGATTCGCAAACAGATTTTTCCTGTAATTCATCATTAGGCTACTAAAATTACACGAAGAAGGAATTAGTGAGCTATGGACTTGGTTTACATGTGCCTCGGGGTAGGGGATCAGTCGCACTCTTCGACCCCTCGTCGCCTGTATGACATGGTTGGCGTGTTGAGGATGTTGGAGCTGGACGGGCGGGGGATGGGGTAGGCTTCGATCAATTTTGAGATCTACTCTCGCACATTTACTCGAAAATAACCACCAAGTTGCGGCCAAAGAAGCCTTTCGCTTGTCTAACAAGCACCAGTGAAGTACTCTAATGGCCCATGCCAACGGGTACAAACAACAGGCGGGGCAGTAACTATTCGGTTATTGGATCCAGCCCTTTGTTGTCAGAAGACGTTGGCACAGGCAGTTCATTTTCCCTGGCATTCGCCAGTTGGTGATCACACGCCCGTACAAGCCGCCGATGACAGTCACGCACACTCCGAATATTTGTTATAGATAGACAGCGCTCTACCCCAGCCCCTCTAACTCCAACGCCCTCAGCACGCCGACTCATCATGCAGCTGACGTGGGAACGGATGCTGCGAATTACCTCCCTAGACACAGAGCTGCGAGTCGTTTGAATCATAGTTCACGGCCCCCAGTCCACAAAAAAAGGCAATAACCTACCCAGCCCATATTCCGTGTTGTGACTCAGTTTGGCCAAAACAATTCGCCACTCGGGGAGCGCACAAGCGAACGAATTTGATAACGTCAGCACTAGTGAACCAGATGGCCGAGCAATCATCACGCCCAAGTTCAGCACAAGGGATGCAAGTACAGCAGATCACGACCTGCATGTTGGCCATGGAGGAATTTGAGCACTAGCGGACACCTATCCTCGGTAAGGGAACTGTTAATTGTCATAAGTACGCAGTAGCATAGTGACTGTATACCTCTAATCACTGCAACTCCCTGTGTATGAATTACGCGTTTCTGCTGTTGTCTCCGACGATGTATCCGCCACGAAATCCGAAACGTTGGGGGAATAACGTGCTTGCCTCATCTCACATAAAAACTCTTTCCATAGCTCACAAATGCATTCCTTATATAAGTGCAATGGCCTGATGATGAATTATCGAAAAGTTACGCTTTTCAATGGACGTTAAAAAGTACAAAGTCAAAATCTGCTGTAGACTGAATGTCTCCCTTGGAAGCAGTACAGTCAACGACCAGGCTCATAAAGTGCTGACCGAAGTTTTAAAATGTTTTTTTTTTAAATATCCGAAATAAATTCTTTAGTGAGCTTGTGACAGTGGTTATCGTACAGCTTGATGCAAAAATATTTGATTTACATCGGTAAGTTGGCTTTTGAATTCGCTTCTTACCGACCGCATGCAGAAACAAGGTTCGGTAAAAGGCGGCTTTTTTAGTTGTTGGAATGTTTTTATTAATAGTCGATGCTTTTAGAACTCCAAATATCTTTTTTGAAAGACATGCTGAACAATTTTATCGCTTGTACTAATTTCGTGGACGAAGGCATTATTAAAGTTTTAGGGGTTGTTCAGGGCCCAAATAATTTTAATTCTGATCTAGCGTTGCATTTGGTTTCAGGGTTCAGAGACTGTAACCTATATAGTTCGCATGCAAGAAGAATCATGGTCATCCCATGCATTTCAAAGAATAACGTAAAGGGTTCATTAAATTTCACGCTAGATGTAAACTACTTTGCATACTTCCTAAGTAGAGTTTATCACCAGACGGCGAAGAGTCCGTTTTGAATCACTATATCATGACCTTAAACACATCTTCATTAAAACCTTTTAAAACTTAAATATGCCCTACCTTCGAGTATATATTTTGAGAAATGCATGAACTGCTACCAAATGAGTACAGAACAGTACATTTCTGAGTATAGTGGCTATGCACTACAATGGAAATTGAAAAGACGTTGAAATTTAATTTAAAAACCCCATACCACCTAGGGAACCATCTCATAAAGTGCATTTTCCCAAGAGGTTGAAACTACGTGCAGTTAAAAGCCGGCATCTCGGCGTCACTGAAAAATATTCGGATTATTCTGTATGTTAATCTGTATTACGACCCCATTTAAGTAGTCAAAATCAATCGAAAATACATCTCAGAATCTCAAGTAACATGTCATGTGATTAGTCACTGTACAATCAAATCTATACGCAAACACAAAATATTCATTCATTTTGTAAGATAAAGTGTAGTTTATATAGGTAATGAAGGGATGCCTATGAGAAGGCCAGCATTATATCGTGCGTGCGTTGACCTAGTGGTTTGCTTTAAAACAATCCGCTTTGCAACCCCACAGAAGGAACATTTCACTGGGCAGAACATGGGAACAGACACTGTCAGGGTTTCATCAGTCAACACGTATTTGCAGGCAAAAGCAACCCTAATGAAATTAGTCAGTTGCAATCACAAAAATTTCTCAAGCCATAGACAACGTGGAAAGAAGATATTTTTTGAAGCCGTTGCCAGGCAACCATTCAGGCTTCCTTATCCGACAGACGCCACGCTTAGGCAACTGTGAAGGGGGGGGGCATGCTTAGGAAACTTGTAAACTCCCTCAACAACTTCCTGAATTAGCCTGTACGCATCTAGATAGGGTGGAAACTCTCAAATTTTCACGTTACTGCATATTGACAGGGAAAAAGCACCAGTACGCGTGCATGGTAGAAATGGAGTATTCTTTTGCTGGGCTAGATATTTTGCAACGCATAGCCAGATGTTTCGCGCAGGCCACAGGCCGTACGGGTAGGAGCGGAAAAGGGCGGATAAAACGTTTTCATCACATAGAGTGTTCTGACAGTGTTAACACCGGTTATTACGTTGAATAATGTTGTAGGAGCTGTAGGTAGTATAGTTGCTGACCAATGGGGTCGCTGCGTTTTTTCAGTTCAAATTCCGATAGGGGAAACAAACAAATTGGGCGCTAAATCAAAGGGCGCCACTCCATTAGGCATCACAAATTCGTATTTTTTAAAAGGTGTGATTTATTTTTAAGGCCTCTGACGGAGAAAGTCGAACCCCTAGTGAAATGTATCCGGCTGCAACTACATAGATAGATCACAGGGACAATTCCGTAAAGTCGGTAAAAACCATTTCACAAGGAGAGTTTACAAACAGCAAACTCCGACCTTAGTCTATGGAACATCAGCTGTCCCGTACATTCGAAATTTCGACGAAGGCTCACTTTCCTTTGAATATTGTGATCAAGACTCACAAACTATCGTCCATGCGGAATTGTCTCACCATGCGTTGCAGACATCTGCTCGGCATAGAGTTTGCGCTCGGTTACTTCGTTGAGATCATGACCGAGTGCTTACAAACAGCTAGTGTTGCACTGGGAATGTACATGTTTTGACAAACTTAAATGCGCATGTACACACGCAGAACTGCAATTTTCACCGGAGCACAGTCTTGCCGATACCACCGCAGATTAAGGTTCTCTTCATAACTCATTTTCAAGAGCAATATTGTTAGAAGCAAAATCTCAGAAACCAGTGCCTA